TTTCTTTTTAGCTATAACAATACACTGGATTATTAAAGATTGGAAGCTTCAGGATAAATTGCTAGATTTTATAAATCTTACTGATCCTCATTTAGGTGAAAATATCTGTAATGCTTTTATAAAAAGTTGTCATGAGTTTGGAATTTTAGAAAAGATAAATAAATATTTTTTTATTTTATTTTTAATTTTGTTTTTTACTTCATTTTTTTTATTCTTTTTATTTTATTTTTATTTTTATTTTTCTTTAATTTTTTTTTAATTATTTTATTTTTTTAACTTTATATTTTTTTTAATTATTTCATTTTTATATTTATACAAATTTGAAATATAACTAATAAAATCATTGTAACTTTAACAGATTTTTGCTAAAAATATATATATTTTAGTGAAAAGATTATTATAAAGCAAATTTAATCTAACAGAATTACAAAAAAAAATCTAATAGTAAATATTTATATGATACCTAAAAATGTTTGATTTACATAGTTGATGGAACACAATGTAACATGTTAAAATGAAAATTAGACTTATTTTTTATCAGATAGGTTGAAAAACAAAAAATACTAAATATACTGATTCAGGTTTTACAAGAAGGCTCGTAGATAAAAAAAATATCTAGAAATAAATACCTAAATTTATTTATTTATTAATTTATTTATTTATTTAAGCAAATGAATATTTGAGTATTCTATTTTCAAATGAAATCCTAATATCTGATTGATATGTTAATTAGTTAATAATGCGTCATTTCACTGAATATGCTGAATATTAACTTTATTTAGGCATGTTACTAACGATCCAATGTGGTAACCATTTCTGGTAAAAAAAAAATATTTTGACATTCTCTTTACAGTTTCATTGGCAAATAGACGAATACTTAAAGAAATAATTATCAATTAGATTTAAGATTTAATCGCAAAAAAAAACTGATTTGAAGAACAATCTAGAGAAATTACTAAATAATTTGGAAATTAGAATTAAGGAATTAGAGTAAAATAACGTAGTATTATGCTCTATTTAGAAGAAAAGTTCAGAGTTTGAGGAGAAGAATCCAAAGACAAGCAAGCAATTATTAGTAATTTAGAAGAAAAGTTTAGAAAACAGTCCAGCTTGCCTAACTCCTTAAAATTTTCAGTCATTTAATTATTAAAATTACCAATTTATCAACTTTACTTAAATCTATAACTGCTTTTCAAAGTGATCACACTCCAATAACCAGTTAATTAACTCCTTAACAGTTCTCTTTTTTTCAATGTGATAATATTTCAATAACCAGCTTACCAACTTTACCTAATTCCTTAACGGAACCCTTATAGTTTTCAAACTCAAATAACTAGTCTAGTTTACCAACTATGCCTAATTCCTTAAAAATAATATATTGTTATAAACACAAATTAATAGATTTTCAACTTTGCCTAACTCTTTAGAAAGTTTCTTATGCTATAAATATAATTTGGTTTCTTTAGATCAAACAAAATACAGGTTAACCTAAAAATAGTAAAGTATTTAGAATTTATTAATTTATATTCACAAATTATAAATTATTTAACATTGATTTTTTATATTTTAAGATTTTATCAGTGATTTAAGAACGAATTTATAATAATAATTTTACTTGTAATGTTATACTAAATTAAGTTCTCAACTTTGAAGTTATATTTATTTTCTTGAAATTTTCCTGTTTAAATTGCCTTTTGATAGTTTCAACTGCAGAAGTGTAACTATTTCAAATAACTTGAGTCACAATTACATTGAGGTCTTAAATATTTGAAAAGTATATCATAAATCATACTTAATGATAGTCTATTCATGTTTAATTACAAATGACCATATTCGGCCAGAAAATATTATTTCATTTTTTAATATAATACTATTTTTATTAATTTTTTTTTTCTTTTTTTTCCTTTTTGTTATCTTTGTTATACAGATGACCAAAATTCGTAACTAAATGACTCAATACAAATCTGGAATTGGTTTAAATGTAGTTGTTACAGCAAACTTCCAAAAATATATTCTAGGATGTCTTTTGCTTCTGTTGAATTGTTGTATTTTTACATATGACATTCTCAGTTCGCAAATAATTTTAGGGTATTTGCATCACATCTTTTTTATGAAATGTCTTTAATACAGGTTTGTAAAATAGTTAGTATCACGTTGCATAATATTTATAAATTGATCTTACCCAAAATGAATTGGGCTAAATCAATAAAAATTTTTCATACACTCTCTTTAATTTTTTACATTTGATTGCTGTTAAACATATCCAAATTTGAAAGTTCCTTTTTGATAGCAAAGATGTCGCTGACAATCAGAATGAGTTTTAAACCACATCAACCTTACACTTATCATCTATGTAAAATTCTTGATAAATATCCTGATAGTTCATAGGTTCTTCGTAAAATTCTCCAGAATTTTGATGATACAAAGAGTACCGAGCAAATTTTCATCTTGGATTATAATACTTATTCATCAAATAGTTTATTTAAACTGGATTTGAAAAATATCAAGGTCCTGCATTATTAGCAAAAAATAATGAAATTTTTAAAGATAGAGATTTTGAGTCTTTGTTGAAATTGGCTGATAGCGAAAAAAGAAATCAATTTGATAAGATTAGAGGTAAATATTATATACTAATATCATATTATAACACATTATAATGACTTTCTAATGTAATATACTATATATGTACTGTAATCTAGTAATGGGTGTCAGATTCAATTCAATTTATCATATCACCAATACTCCTACTTTTATTACTGGTAATAATTACATTATTCTTGATCTACATGAGTGGTACTATGATAGTGGTAAAAAATTCAATTTTGTTGAGAATAATTTGGTTCAAGAATATCCTAATCAATTTGCTCCTTTTAAAATCTAGTATAATAAATCATTTAATGGAACACCATTTAATGGTATCCTATTTCGTTATCCCCTTTGTACCAATAATGATTCGAAAATTTCTGATGAAATTTATGAATCCAGCAATATCTTAGAAATGTTTCATAGATTTTACGAAAATAATAGCATACTGTTTCTAAAATTTATTGAGAATATTACTTTTTATGAATTAAAAAAAGGTGTTATTGAACCTGAATTACTATATGTGATTCAATTGAAAAATGCTGATGAAATTCAAGAACAACGTTGTTTGATAACAAAAGAAATTGTACCAATGATGAATTCATTACAATTGGGTGAACTTGGAGTTAATAATCAATTACATACATCCTATATCACATCATTCTGTTGTAAAAAAGGAGATTTCAAAGAGAATAACACATGGTTAATTTTTAATTATCTTGATGACTTACTTGAAGCCGAAGCACATTTTCAAGAGAATTTAAAAGAAATATAGGAGACTACAAGTTCATCCCTAATGTTAGTTTAGCAGTTTTCTTGAATAATTTACTAGCTACAGGAATGCTATTTTGCTTTTTACCACTTCCCATTTGTATGCCCTTTCCTGTTTCTGTTCATGGATATTTTATGGTAAAATTAAATGAATTAATAAATTTGATATTTTTTAAGATTTTTTTTAAGCTGATATTTTTAAATTTTCTAACAAGTTAGCACAAATTGACATTCTTTATAGTTGGCTGCTGATGACAGTGATCTGATAATCAATCTACTTTCATAATATTTTGTTTTTTTTTAGATTGTAAACCAATAAAAAATATAATACAATTAAATATTACAGGCGACTAATGTATTAGTACGCCTGAAGGTTTCATGGAATCAATATTTATTTGAAAAAGTCTTATTTTAAGCCTGGATAATATTTTTTTGTAAACTCCCGCTTAAAGTTTCCAATATTAGGTCTGATAATCTTTATAAATTCTGGCCAATAATTAAAGGAGGTACATCAGGCGACATAAGTATTTTTTGCAAGGATCTGTTGCAGAATGTTATAGAAAATCTTAATATTGAGGATCGTATATTCAAAGGACCTCCTTCTTTATATGATATTGGAACGGTATCTGAAGTTTAAGCAAATTTATATGATACATATTTACTCAAAGTATCCGAATTTCATTGGTTATCAATTTCTAATGAATATCTGAAAGATGAGAAAGTGTATAATGATTTACCTAAAATAATTAGTACTATTAGATTTCCAGTAATATCAACACTTCTTGACATAATTAAAGCTTTGAAAGATTTTAGACATAAAGATTTTCTTAAAAATTTTTCTCCGGCCATTATTCGTACTTATTTGAATGATAATTGTGATAGATGGCAAGATATACCAAAAAAAAAGTTTTATTATTACTTGAGTATATATTGAAGGACAAAAAATTTGATGAATTGGAAGATTTTAAGATTATTTCGCTTGCAGACGGTACTTTTGGTACTTTAACAAAACATAGCAATTCTTATGTACATTGGTCTAAAAGATATTGAAATACACAAGAATAATGAATTCAACATCTTCAAAAATCAGAAAGTTTGTATGATTATGTGTCAACTACTGAATGGAATCTAAATATTAAATCCTGAACGAATCTGTTATTATTAATATGATTAAATCTGAAGATGCAGATTCTGAAGAGATACAAATTTTAAATCATCGTGAATGGATTTATAAATTATGAGATAACCTGAAATACAGAAATTGGGATTTGACTAAGTTTAAAGATATTCATTTACTCCCAACAAATCATTCTACTTTTAGAAAGTTAAATACCCCTAAGAAAATTTTTTCAAGCGAAAATATTTCAACCAATTTAAGACATATTTTTGAAAAATTTGGTGGTGTTTTTGTAGAACATGAATTTGACGTTGACAGAATTTCTAGATGGAACATGTAAGTATAATTTGTTACCATTTTTATATGATGTTTTAAATACGTTAAACTAGTTTTCTACTAGAATAACTTCATATATTACCAAGCCTGATGATATTATATCAGTTTTGGATTCTTTCCAAGCTGATACTTCATATCCAAGAAATTTAAGTCAAACGATATTACAAACTCATGAAGCATCAACGCTCGCTAAACATTTATCTAATCACTTATGACTTGTTCAAATAACAAATTATATTGAAGTTATTAAGTATCTTTCAATCTTTTTCAAAGTTGATTATGATTCACTAGTTTCATTGTTACCTGAAAATACAAATTGGTATCTTCTTCCTCAGAATGAAGAAAATACGTGTGGTAAAATTATCTATCCAAGAAATATGAAAAAATTTCTTAATACAAGTTCACAGAATTTATCTTATATATTGGAAGATATTATTAAGATAACGCGATTAGATTCATATATTTATTAGCAAAAATATGTAATACCATATCTCAGGTCACAACAGCAAGCAGTCATAGATAAAGTAGTCGATAGTCTTTTTAATAGATTACCATTCTTACTTGATCATGATAATGATGTAAACTTAAAAGATATTCTGGAAAGAACTTCTTTTGTACCTATTGGCACATATAAAATGTCTCAGCAGCAACAAATGCCCGCTAGAGTAAAATTGGTTAAACCAACAGAATTATTTGATCTGAAAAACAAACAGTAATTGGTCTATTTTTAAAAAAGAGTAAGTCTTTCCAGCTGGAATATATGGCATTCCTAGAAATATGTTTTCTAATAAGTTTTTCGAATTTAAAATTATTAGAAATGAAATCAGATCTTTCTTCAAATAATGTGATTTCTCAAATTAATACTATAATAGAACAAAATCAGATTTTTAGCGTTAAATATTTCACTATTTGGTTACTGAGGTAATGAAAAAAAAAGAATTCAAATTCAATTCTCATAATATTTCACTAAAAAGACCTTTTTCATGAAGATTTAATTCACGAAAAAGCACTTAACCTATTTAAATATATTGATAACAATTGAGACGAGTTAACTAATAATAATGATTGTGGATTTTTGAATGTCATTTTAAGGAAGGAATAGATACTTACATTTGACATATTTGGGAAAAAGATTTTATCGAAATCTCAAAACGGTTACTGTCGAAGATTTAGTTTATCTTATTTTTCTAACGCTTAAATATAACATTAAAAATATAAGAAGCTTTTGCAATATTTGAAGTGGGATGGATATCCAGAAATTCAAAAAGTTCTAAAACAGTTAAAAATATGTTATGTAACTACTAACATGCCATTACATGAGAATTTGGAGAAGATATGTAATGCGATTTACTATACATGAATGAAGTCTTTCAAGCAAATAATTTAACTGCTGAGCAGGATTTCAAAATTATAAAAAAAAATTTGGGAAAATAAACTGTGGATATTATGTGATAATACATTCCGTCCAGCTAATGAAGTTGTCTTTCATTTTTAATTTGAATTTCAGCGTGATATTGTTGAACTTTCCGTGGAATATACGCCTTTATTTAAAGCCATAGGAGTTCGAAATGAAATTGGAAACATGGATTTGATATTGATTATTAAGAATATGGTAAAGGACAATAGAGATAGAGTATTCTCAGAAGACAAAATAGAAAGGATTATTAAATTCTTAAAGAGATATTAAAAGAAGTTCCAAATCTGAAAAATTTGAAAGAAATATTAGTTCTAAATACTGAAAATAGGCTTGTAAAATTGGATCAAATTTGATTTAATTATTTAAAAGATAGAGTTGATGAAAATGAAAAATGTAAAATAATTGCTCATGATCATTTAACGGAGAAAATTACTATAAAATTAGAAATCGAAACTTTAATAGGAAAAATATTTGGTAATCATATTTATTAATTATTCTAAAATTATAAATTTTATTATTTTGCCTTATCTGAATTCGCACATTTATTTATATTACTAGGAAATAATTCTGGAAACATTATACAAGATGAGTTATCGGCTATCAGAATAAAAAGCAATATTAAGGTAACTAAATTTTATATGCTTTTTAATTAATCATATTGTATTAATTTTATTAAACTGCTGCTTTGATATAACTTTAGAATTACTCGCTAGACAAATTGTTTAAAATATTTCTTCAGGTAAGTAATGCAACTTATCATATATTTTGAAATAAGTATTGTATATATCTAAATTTAAGCATGTTTTTTTCTGAATTTAGAATGCAGATGAAACTAAAGTTATACAGTTTTCAATAATAATAGATGAAAGAGAGCATAATTCTTATAAAAAATCTTTACTATCAAAAGAAATAAAAGATTGGTAAGGCCCTGCCATATGGATATATAATAACAAAAACACAGACATTCTTTTCTTGAACGAACTTAGATGTTTTAATTGTGGCTTTTAATTTTACAGACTTACCAAGCATTATAAGTGGAAAGTATATTGCATTTTTTGATCCAAATGTCAAATTTCTTCCATCACCTAAAAGAAGTAGGGTTATAATCTTTGATTTCATTGAAATAGGATATAAGAAGAAACTTGCAGATCAATGCTATCCTTATGAAACTATTGAAGGATGCGATTTTGCAAATAAATTTAAAGGAATATTATTAAAACTTCCCATTAGAACGCTTAGGCTGGCTGGTCAAAGTGAAATTTCAGATGAAAGTTTCAAAATTGAAGACATTTTGCAACAATTTATAAATGTTCAGGGTAATAAGGAGATGCTCTTTTTGTGATATATAGAATCATGTAGTCTATATAATATAAAAGAACAACAAGAAGCTCCTTAAATGCTATGGTAAGCGCAAATTAATCATATGCTAGATAATGTTAATACCAAACATAATCGCAACATTCGTAAAAATGTAACAGATAATGCGCAAATACATCAATTTGGCATTGAAATTAATAAAATCCATAACGAGAGAGTTTCTGAAATATGGTTATTGTATACAGAAGGACATAGAAATATCAACTCAGAAGAACTTAGAACATTTTCAAGAGACAAATAGCTCAAGGCAAATAAATAAATAGTTTATTAATTTATCGGATAAAAATTTAGTAACCATTCTTTTGTTAATAAAGCCAATAGGAGGAGTTGCTTCATTGCTTGCTCGATCTAGCAAACATTCTTTGGATGAACTAAAAGATGAATCAGTAATTTATAATTTTATTATATATTTATTTTGCAATTATCATTTTAAATGATATTATAAATATTAATAATTTTTGTGATAGTTTCCAAATCCTCCTGAAATTCAAGGCAAAATGTTTTCATGTTATTCTCTATCAATAAGTACTAATTTAGGAATCCACTTAAATGAAAACTTTTCTTTATTTAGTGAAGGAAGCAATATCCTAAATTCTGAAAGTATTTTTCTGCGAATCAATGCAAAATGGAATCGATATATCCTATATGATGTTTTGCCTGATTTGCATGTTAAACTGCTTGATAATATCATGGATTATCTGAATTAAAAGCAGCCTTTGGATTGTTCTCATATTATCGTAAATTTGTTAAGGGATTTTCTCAAATCGCTAAACCTATAACTATGCTACTAAAGAAGGATGCTCCATATGATTGGACTGAAAACCAACAGAAATCTTTTGATAAATTAAAAGAAAAGTTGATTACATCTCCCATCCTTCAATACCCAGACTTTACCAAGGAATTTATATTTTATACTGATGCCTCAGGGTAGAATTAGAAGCAGTATTATTCCAATTGGATGGTGATAAAAATGAACACGTTATTGCTTATGCAAGTAAAAACATGAATAAACTGAACAGAATTATCCGATCACAAACTAAGAATGCTTAGTAGTAGTTTAGGCTATTAGAAATTTCCATTATTATCTTAGCTGACCATGAACAAGATAATGCTTCTAAGAAAGTTTTCATATTCTCAATTATTGAAGACATAGATAAAGAAATAAAATGGTATATTTTTCCCTTTGAAAATAATGAAACTCCATTTGAAAGTTGCTTGAGGAAATGGAATTAGAGGAAGAATTAGTTTTATCATACTCTCTTATACACCTTTAATTACTAAAGGATACCAATGCCTTAAAAATGAGTTGAAAGATATTTTCAAAGAAAATATAAAAATTAAGCAAGTTATAGCTAACCAACCAATTACTAAAGAAGGATCACAATGTAATTATAATTGTGACATTGAAAATCATCATATCCATACATATTACAAGGCTTGTAAAAGAAATTTACCATATGTAACGATCAAATATCATTGTATTAATAGATTCAGTCTAGAATAGATTCAATCAGATATGAACTCTAATTATTTAATTAATGACCTTCGGTGGGATGAACCAATTTTAGTTCAACAAGAAAACCTTTATTCTCAACTTTATTATATGCTTGAAAACCCTAAATGTTTTCTTATTTCTCACATTTAAATATCTTGATTCATACTCATATTTATTCAAGTAATATTAGTAATAATTATTTAAAGTAAAAGCAAAAGTATCTACATTGTGATAGGTAGCTCAAACATCATGAAACTCAATCAATATAATAATTTATTTGTTATATAACCTTAAACCAATTACCCATATCTTTTAACTCAAACTAAATTGCAAAATTAAAAAGACAATCAAAATTTTATACAATTTGACTTGATTTCTTATATAAAAAGCAAAGACAAAAAAATGCTTCTGAACAGTTTTTAAGGGTTATCAAAGAAACTGAACTAGATGCAATCCTTTACATGATGCATAATGATCTAACAGCTGAATACTTTTCTAATGACATCATGTTTAACAAAGTTCATAATAGATATTATTGGCCTCAAATGTATGAAAGTATCAGAAAATATGTTCAATCATGTGATGCTTGCCAACAATGAGAAAGGCTTAAAACAAAGAATGAATTATATCTTATTCCAATTGATTCACTATTTTATAGAATTAGAATAGATTTTGCTGGACCTTTACCACGAACTAGTAGAGAAAATAAATGCATTATTGTTGCCATAGATTATTTAACAAAATGGCCAGAAGCTAAAGCAGTTAAGGATGTTACTGCTAAAAATGTTGTTAAGTTCTTATACGAGGATATTATTTGCCAATATAGATGTTTAACTAAGAACTTATTAGATAGAAAATCTCATTTTAATAATCAATTAGTTACAGAATTAATAGAACAATTTTACATTTGTTATAATCTATTTACTTCTTATCATCCTAAGATAAATAAATTAGTAGAAAGATTCAATAGAACTCTATGTGAATCATTAGCAAAATTGGCTGAAAGATCTACTCAAATGAGATCAATATATTTCTCCTGTTCTATTTACTTATCGCACAAGCAAACAATCAGCTATAAAAATTAAACCCTTTTATTTAATTTATAAACGAAATGCAACGTTACCTATTGATAATCCTAATGATCCTAATGACTTTTATACCAACCAGAATTTTACTATTCAAGAAGAAATTGATCATCTGATTAACAAATTGCCCCTGATGTGACTAGATACAAAGATGTGAATACAATTTGCACAACAATAACAAAATAAATACCATGACAAAAATACAAGGATCTCTATTTCATATAAAATTGGAGATAAGGTTTTGTACTTCGAAGTTGCAAAAGATAAAACCTATTCTAGAAAATTGGATCAAAAATAGAAGGGACCCTATTATATTCATCAAATCTTATTAAATAGCTCTTATTAGATAAGAGAATTAGATGATCGTATACTTCATAGTCTAGTAAATAGAGAACTTTTGAAAATATATAAAGACCCTTCTTTTCAGAATTAGATTTTCTTTTATCATTATTATTTATTGATATAGAACAACTTTATATTGAAGATTTGAATGAAACTTTTCCTGAAGAAATAACTCCTGCTATTCTTCCATATTCAAATAAAACAGACCTATAAAAGAAATTTCAAATGACATATCAAATATTATTAAGAGCTTCACGAATGAAAGACCAGACTCTTACTTTAATAAATGCTTATTATTTGGGAAAACTTTTAGAAACAGAAACTTCTTCATCAACACAACGAAGTCAATTAAGAGAACTTATTACCAAATATTATAGTTCTGTCTCAATACGAGTCTATTACCTCTATGAAATTCTAGGTGTAGATCAAATTCAATAAGTGAAACATATATTGTTGAAGAATCTTTATCAACTCTCTAGTCATATATATTGGTCTCTATTAAATGAAGCTATAGATATTTGAGTAGGAGCTCAAAATTTAGAAGGGGAGGATTAAAGCTGTAACCTGTGACTGTGCTAAAAATAAGTCATGTGATCTAAATGATCGACATATTTGATGAAGTTAATAAGGTTGCTAAAGTTGTCAATGTTGATCAAGTGCACAAATTAGATAAATAAATTATAGTTATTATCTTTATTAATTATATCTTTTTTATTATATATATTATATTTATCCTAGTTATATTATTTATTCTTTTATTATATTTGTTATAGTTGATTTTATATTATTTTATTTTATATAAATATCTTGTATTTTCTCTTGAGTTGAAAAATAACTCAAGTTAAGATTTTAGGATAAACTAAGAGTTCAATAAAGGAATCGTTAAGTTCATTTATTATTGCCTTTTATCATCATGTCTTCATATAGACGTGATTGTGATATTATCTTGTATTTAATTCGACAGATTGAATTAAAAGTTTATCGTTTAAGTTTACAGATACTAAGCTAACAACATTATTGATCTAGAAGATCTAACAATAAATGATTACTTGAACATGACAGATAAATAAAATGATCAAAAAGACAAATTATTAAGGAGTTTATTAGTTAAACTTATAAGTAACAAAAATCATGATATCACTTTTATCATTGGTAGAGAAAGGATTAGTGCTAATAGATGTGCTTTCAAGTAGGCCAAAGTATTTTTTTTTTACTTTTTATGTTTGTAAGATTTTTTCTCTAATCAATTATTTTCATAGCTACCTCAGCACATTTTAGAAATATACCATCAGAACACAATGTTCCTATAAATGATATTCAACTAGATACATTCAAAGTATTTCTTCTATGGTTATATAGGCAATCTTTTGAAGATATGAAAACGTATATTTTATGAACTCAAAAAGACTTTACAATGGATCTAAAATATGAAACATACTATTTATACTTTTTTGTTTATCTGTTAGAAATAACCTATATTTATGATGATGTTAGAATACTTAAAGAAATAGTTGAAGATATTATTATTAGAGATCAGTTAGTTAATTATTGTAATGTGAAGCTAATTCAAAATAGGTTAATTAGATATGACGGATTTAAGTCGTCAATTTTAAATAATTACTATAAAGAGTATATTATTAGATTAAATATAGGACTTTTTTAGATTATAAAGAAAGAGAAATGCTAAAGTCAATTTAAAAAATTTTAAATAATTGTATTACAATACTTAGCAGGATTTAATCATAAATAATAATAAATAAATATTAAAAAAAAAATATTATCAGAAATCAATGCTTTAATATTGATAAGTTGATCCATTCAAAGACTTTTTTTCATACAAATAATATTAATTTTATGCCTGTTAGAGGACCTTTGAAACTCACAATAATAATGAATGAATTAGCATTGTGTTGTATAAACTATTAATTAATTAAATATATAGGCGTTTGTTATTTTATTCATCAACTTTAAAATAATACTTTATTTATTGTAAATCACTGACAAAGGTAAGCATTGAATAGAAATTATTGGTAAGGCTAAATAATTATAGGAAATAGTTTGAAGACAATGGATATGAGTATGTTGTTGCATTTCTCGTCATTGATCAGATTTTCGTGATGAAAAATGGATTCACATATTCGATTTTTAGTCTCAAGTAAATCAAGAAAATCAAACGAAAAATTCAAACTATATCAGGTATGTAAGTGAACTTCTAATATACAAAATCAAAGCATTTTTGTAAATTATCATCAACACGTGTAATCATAAATGAAGTGAAACTAGTTACGTAAAATATTGGTGCAATATATCCGATATATTTTTAGGCATCAACTTTTTGATGTGTTAGAATTCTCATTGATTCTCTTAATGTTGTATCGTAAATGTAAGGGTAATTTGAAACTCTATTTGTTTTTTCATCATTGCTAATCTTATGAATTTACATTGTTTGTTAAATTTGAAATCTTATAAATTCTTTACATTTATACTTATAAATAAAGAAAAATGTAAATAATAAGTTTTCATAATTAAAAATTAGAGCAATTAAGATGTAAAAATTATTTAATGAAAATTAATTTATCAAGTGTTGCCTTAACATCAACGCTCTAACGCTAATCACTATATGCTAATTAATTAAAACTGCGAACAAAAGAAAAAGAATATAAAAACAAAAATTATAGTAGAAATAAATTAAAAATTTGATAATATCACAATGTAAAAAAAAGGAATAGAATATATTGTGTGTAATAAAAAAAAGAAAACAATCCTACCTAATTCCTCAAGAGAAAAACAGTATGATTATCAGTCTAACACAGCGATTCACGAACTAGAATTAACGTTCAGTGGTCAGAATTATTTTTATAATACTATATATGATTCAAGTTCATAGTGTAATTTTGTTAGATAAATATGTGATAGAATACATAGAATTGTATGTAAGAACCTCGAGACCTCGTAGTTGCAATAGTAATTAAAACAATTAATTGTAAAAATTTTCAGAGAGCAAAGAAATAATAGAATTTTACGCATTATTATAGTAATTCGTTTTTATTATAATGATGTTTTTTAAAGATCAAAAAATTTCAATTTCATAAAAAATATAGTATAATAATTGATTAAGATCACACAATATTATTCGTGTACTTGTCATTATATTAGTTAAAAGTATTATTAAATTAATCAGAAAGAAATACATCTACTATATAAGAAGATGCTAAGAAAATCAGGTCTTGGGAATTTTTTGATTTTTAGTTTTTAATGTTATTAGATTAATAAGGTCTTAATTTAGTCAAAAAAAAATCTCAAAGCCTGATTTTCCTAGAAAACTTCCCATATTATGTTATTTATATATTATTATATTATTAAAATTAAATATCAGTGTTTTACTATCAAAATTCCTTTAATAGAAAGAGGTTCAAGTGGGATTCACTATGATACTAATTTTGCAGATAAAATTTTATTAGATATTAAATTTAAATGAATTCATCCGTTTAGACTAACAAAACTTTTTATTTGCGTTGAATTGAACCTTTCATGAAATTGCAACTATTTAATAAAGAACTTATCTGTACAATGGACTTCATTGAGTCGAAATGCAATGATTTTTTTTCAAGAAAATTAGACATTTCATTAGAAATTCTTGACCTGTCAAAAAAAAAAATATAATATGATATATTGTATACGTAAGTAATACAATGTGCTTTTACAATTTCGACCAATGAAATTAAGATATTGAAAAATAAAATTGATTTTTTAACATATTAAGACAAGCTAACAAATGAAATAGTATCATATATCATTCACTTAATGAGTAATATTAGTACATTTAATACAAGAATTCTGAAACTTGATCACGCATACATATGTAAGTATACATTTCAAAAGTTACAGCATCATGTGACAAAAGATTGATATTATCTTTACACATGATCACCACTCAAAATTTGTTAAAATTGTGAAATGATGGGGGTTATCTATTGTATTACCTAAATAATTTTAAACCTTTACAAGTTCTTATTATTATAGTAACTCTGACTTCAATCATTTTTTACTTTTTAACCTTTACAAAGATTAAAATTTATTAATTACACAATTTTTATACGTTATTGAAGAAATAATTCAAAACTCCTAAAGGAGTTTGAATTATAATAAATTTTGTTGACATGAGGAATATTATCTTAATCAAAGAAACAATTATGATAATAGAAAGTGAGTAAAATAGATAGAGGAGTTGATTAAAGATATCATTGGTGCGAGATCAGACACGAACCTAAAATATGATTAAAGTAGAAACAAAAATTGATTTTTAGCGTTGAACTGTTTAGAATATCAATAGTTAGAGTTGTGTAGATTAGTTTATGTTTATCCTTCTAATCCTTTACCCAATTACCCTTCTAATAAATCCCTTACTCACAATAATAAATATTTAGTAATTATGTTTTTTTTTATATTAAATAAATATTATTTTGTCTATAAATAATATTTTTATTGATTTTTATAATGTTGATTTCTGTGATTTTGTATCTTTTTTCTTTTCTAGCTAACGCAAATTATAATAAACGAGCGAGAATTTTGTGTATTGAATATCTTATCAAGCAAAAACAACTTCTTTTGGTTGTCTAGTAAATTTTCAATTTCGTCCTATAAGACGTTAAAGCAAGAAAAAAATGTTTAATTTAATTTAAATTTAATCAATGATTAAATTAGAACACGTTCATGCTAAAAAAAAGGTTCTTAGTACATTGCAGGGCAATTATAATATAATATCATCAACTATAATGACCTCTTTGTGGGATCGATAAGTTTGGATAATTTCATTCAAGGTTAAGACTTTTTGAATGGATTGATAATAGTCTTCGAGAGATTACAACCATTTGATAGGATCGATAAAATCAGATTTTTTCTTCAATGATTACAACACTTTTAATGGCATCAAATATCTTTCAAGGAGTATGACCTCTTGACAGGATCGACAAAAGCGAATTGTTTTCTTACAAGGACTATATAGCTTCATATGATTCTTCCAATTTGAGAAATCGTCTAAACCTAAAACTGCTTTACAATTTCTAAAAATGGTCAATTTCTAACACTGCACCATAAGGGCAAGGTTACAATAATAGTTTTATTTATCTTATTTTAATGTGAAATGTATAATTTTGATATTATAGTTTTTCAATTTCTAGTTATAAAGTTATTTTTTATCTGATCAATCTGCCTATATTTCGTTCTTGTTTATAAACTCACAAACATGTTTCAAAAACTTAAAATCTTCAAACATAAAAGAAGGAAAATTGTTGAATAAGCAAATTATAAACATAAGTGTGATAAACTATTATTTTTGCGGGTATATGAGTGTTACCATATAAACATAAATTATGTAGAATAAAAATATATAGATATTTTGCTGTATGTGCAAATATGAATTAAATTGTGGAATTCTTGCTTTGTAATAAGAAGTGTTATAAAATATTGGAATGTAATCATATGTTTTGCATTATTTGTGTAAAATTTAGTTTAATTCATAAATTTGATAGATTACTAGAAAATTAGATTTCATAAATACACAAAACAATTTATAAAATATATTTTTATTAATCACTTATTCTTTCATAATTTTCATAGAAAACAAAAATTCAGATCACTTAGTATAATGTTATTTATGTGTTATTTACGAATAACGTAATGATGATCGTCAATGATTATTCATTGATTAACTTTTGTTTTTTTAAAAATAAATAGAGGATCTCACAACTTCATTTCTACCTTTATTCCAAATTTTCTTTACTTTTTGGTGGGTATCATTTTTCACAAGTTGTTTTTTAAAAATATTATTTACAAGAAGTTAACCAAAAAATAACTTACATTTTATTATTTCAAGGAATTTTTACATGATAACTCAAAGAACTTGACAGGTTCACGTTCAAGGTATCACATATGCAGTTGTCGCATCAAGATGATGACATATTTTTTAAGCTTCCCTTTCATCCATCCCCACTTCAGTTTTCTCTTCTTTAATAGCTATATCTCCTTTTCTTTCCCCTTCTTCTATAGCTGCTTCTTCTTTTTCTTCTGTTATTTCTTCTACCTCTTCTTCCTCTTCTTTACTCCTTTTTTTTCTTTCCTTAAGTTTTTATTCTTACTCTTCCATATTCCCCATAAGTTCACCTACTTCTTCTACTTCCCCTACTTCAAATACTTTTTCGATTTCTTCTACTAGTCCTAACTTTTTTCCATTCCCATTTCCTTCTCCTATTCTTGTTCCTTCTTTAGTTTCCCTACTAATCTTCCTGTTCTTTCTCTTCCTCTTTCCTTCCTTTCCAATACCACATCATATCGTTCTCCCTCTTTCTCTCCTTCCCCCTCTTCTTTAAGCTTATCTCCTGATTCATCCTCTTCTAATTCCTTTGTTTCTTCTTATTTCTCTAATTTTTCTACTCCCTCTTTTACCCTTTCCATTTTTAGCCGCCCTTATATTCACTATTGTCTTCTTAGATAGCCAGAGCTGATGGATTTTGATCCACTAGGCATTTTTGTTGAAACCCCATTTATCCTCCCTAATCAGTGACCTGAACTAATAGATCTTAATCCTCCTGGTATCTACGTAGCAATTGATTATGGTTTTTACCCCTTCCCCTTCATTTTTAAACTAGCTACCTCTTCTTCTTTATGTTGTCTTGGCCAGCACATTTAAAATTTTAAAAATAAATGAAATAAAATATAAAAAAACAAAAAAAAAAAAAAATATAAAAAAAAAAAATCAAAAAAAATTACCCTTTTATAAATTTTCACTAGGGTGCTTATCTTTTAATAAGCATGACTATAATACAAAGTATCGTATTGTTAGCTTGGTATCTATAAACTTAAATGATAAACTTTTAATTTAATCTGTCGAATTAAATATAAGACAATATCACAATCATGCCTATATGAAGACATGACAAAAGGTAATAGTAAATGAATTTACGATTTCTTTATTGAACTCTTAGTTTATCCTAAAACTTTAATTTGAGTTACTTTTTGACTCAAAGGAAAATACAAGATATTTATATAAAATAGAATAATATAAAATCAACTATAACAAATATAATAAAGAGAACAGATAATATAACTATGATAAATATAATATATATAATAAATAAGATGTAATTAATAAATATAATAAATATAACCCATTTATCTAATATGTCCACTTGATTAACATTGACAACTTTAGCAACTCTGTTAACTTTGTCAACTTCGTTAACTATGTCAATCATTTAAATCACATGACTTTATTTTAGCACAGTCACAGATCATGGCTTCAATCCTCCCCTTCTAAATTTTGAGCTTCTGCCCAAATATCCATGACTTTGTTTACTAGAGACCAGTATATATAGCTTAGGAGTTGATAAAGGTTCTTCAATGATATATGTTTCAATCGTTAAATTTGATCTACACCTAGCATTTCATAGAGATAATAAATACGTATTGAGATAGAACTATAATATTTAGTGACAAGTTCTCTCAATTGATTTCATTGTGCTGGTGAAGAAGTTTCTGTTTCTAGAAGTTTTTCTAAGTAATAAGCATTTATCAAGGAAAGAATTTGGTCTTCATTCGTGAAGCTTTTAATAATATTTGATATGTCAGTTGAAATTTCTTTTGAAGATCCATTCCATTTGAATATGGTGGAATAGCAGGGGTTACTTCTTCAGGTAAAGTTTTGTTTAAATCTTCAATATAAAGTTGTTCCATAATAATAATGAATAAGAATAAAAATAAAAATAAAATAAAATAAAAAGAAAAATCTAAATTTAAAAAGGAGGGTCTTTATATATTTTTAAAAGATCTCTATTTACTAGATTACGAAGTACACGATCATCTAATTCTCTTATCTTGTAAAAGCTATTTAGTAAGATTTGATGGATATAATAGTGGCTTTTCCATTTTTGATCCAATTTTTCAAAATGAGTTTTATCTTTTGCAGCTTTAAAGTACAAAACCTTATCTCCAATTTCATGTAAAACAGAGATCTTTGTGTTTTTATCATGGTACTTCTTTTGTTGCTATTGTGCAAGTTGTATTCGTATCTTTACATCTAGTCATACTAGGGATAATTTGTTGATCAAATGATTAATTCTTTCCTGAATAGTAAAATTCTGGTTGGTACAAAAGTCATTAAGATCATCAGGATTATTAATAGGTAACGTTGCATTTCGTCTATAAACTAAATAAAAGGGTTCAATTTTTGTGGCTGATTGTTTACTTGTGCGATAAGCAAATAGAACAGGAGCAATATATTAATCCCATTGAGTAGATCTTTCAGCTAATTTTGCTAATGATTCACATAGAGTTTTATTGAATTTTTCTGCTAATTCATTTATCTTAGGATGATAAGGAGTAGATAGATTATAACAAATGTGAAATTATTCTATCAATTCTGTAACTAATTGATTATTAAAATGAGATTCCCTATCTAATAAGTTCTTAGTTAAACATCTATATTGGCAAATAATATCCTCGTATAAGAATTTAACAATATTTTTAGCAGTAGCATCCTTAACTGCTTTAGCTTCTGGCCATTTTGTTAAATAATCTATGGCAACAATAATGCATTTATTTCCTCTACTAGTTCATGATAAAGGTTCAGCAAAATCTATTCTAATTCTATAAAATAGTAAATCAATTGAAATAAGATATAATTCATTCTTTGTTTTAGGTCTTTCTTATTGTTAGCAAGCATTTCATGATTGAACATATTTTCTGATACTTTCATACATTTGAGGCCAATAATATCTATTACGAACTTTGTTAAACATGATATCAGTAAAAAAATGTCTAGCTGTTGGATCATTATGCATCATGTAAAGTATTGCATCTAGTTCAGTTTCTTTTATGACCCTTAGAAACTGTTCAGGAGTATTTCTTTGTCTTTGCTTTTTATATAAAAAATCGAGTCAAACTATATAAAATTTTGATTGCCTTTTTAATTTTGCAATTTAGTTTGAGTTAAAAGATGTAGGTAATTGATTTAAGGTTATATATACAAATAAATTATTATATTGATTGAGTTCCATGATGTTTGAGCTGCCTATCATAATGTAGACACTTTCACTTTCACTCTAAATACTTATTACTAATATTTCTAAAATAAATATGGGTATGAATTAAAATATTTAAATGTGGGAAACAAGAAGACGCTGAGGGTTTTCAAGCATATAATAAAGCTGGGAGTAAAGGTTTTCTTGTTGAACTAAGGTTGGTTCATCCCACTAAAGGTCATTAATTAAGTAATTGGAGTTCATATCTGGTTGAATTTATCCTGGGCTAAATCCAATGATACAATGGTGTTCAATTGTTCTATATGGCAAATATCTCTTACATGCTTTGCAATATGTGTAGATATGATGGTTTTTAATGTCACAACTATAATTACATTGTGATCCTCCTTTAGTTACTGATTGATTAGCTATAATTTGTTTAATCATGATATTTTCTTTAAAAATATCTTCTAATTCATTTTTAGGACATTGATATCCAATAGTGATTAAAGGTGCATGAAAGTATTATGATATTAATTCTTCCTCCAATTCTATTTCTTCTTGTGATCATTCTGATATGAAGTTTCACTGTTTTCAGAAGAAATATGCCATTCTATTTCTTCATTGTCATTTTCATTTATTATGAGCATAAAAACTTCTTTTGAGGAATTATTTTTTTCTTTTTTAGGGATTAATCGAGATAATGCATCAGCGTTAGCATTATATTTTCCAGATCTGTGTTGAATATTAAAATCATATTGTTGTAATTCCATTATTCATCATGCACGTCATCCTTTTAGTATTTTTGAGATTCTCAACCATTTAAGGGTAGAGTGATCAGTTACAATGGTGAAAAGTTTAAAACTAAGATAATGATGAAAGTTTCTTATAGCCTAAACTACTGCTAAACATTCTTGATCTGCAATTGGGTAGTTTTCTTTAGCTTTGTTCATGCTTTTGCTTACATATGCAATAACATGTTCATTTTTATTTTCATCGAGTTGAGATAATACTGCTCCAAGTTTTACTTCTGAGGCATCAGTATAAAGTATGAATTCCTTAGAAAAGTCAGGATATTGAAAGATTGGTGATGTAATTAGTTTTTCCTTTAATGTATCAAAAGATTTTTGTTGGTCATTTGTCCAAATATAAGGGATATTCTTCTTTAGTAAAGTTGTTATTGGTTTAGCAATTTGAGAGAATCCTTTCACGAACTTTCAATAATATGAGAACAATCCAAGGGCTGCTCTTAATTCAGTTAATTCTATAGGCGCTGGAAGTTCTTTGATTTTTCGAATTTTTTCAGGATCTGATTGTAAACTACTTCTTCCTACTATGTGTTCAAGAAATGAAATATTTGGCAGACAAAATTGATACTTTTTCAATTTAATTATTAAATTTGCTTTTCTGATTGCTTCAAATATCATTTGCAAATGTTGTAGATGTTCTTCATATGTTTTTGAATAGATAATGATATTTATCTAAATATACTGCTACAAACTTATAGAGGTATTCTTGTAAGATAAAAATCATTAGACGTTGAAAAGTTCTAGGAGCATTCTTTAATCCAAAAACATTCTTTTGAATTTGTACAGACCATATAGACAGATAAAAGCAGTTTTCTCATGATCACTCTCTTCCATTTCTACCTGCCAATATCCACTAGCAAGATCGAGTGTAGAAAACTAACTTGCATTTCTAAATTTTTCAAGCAAGTCGTTAATGAGTGGAAGGGGATAAGCATCTCCTTTAGTTATTGCATTAAGTTTTCTATAATCAATACAAATGCATGCATCTCCAGTTTTCTTGAATATGATAATAACTGGGAAAGTTCAAGGGCTTTTTGACTTTTGGATAATATCATTTTCTTCCATTTGTTTAATTTCTTCTTAGAGAAATTTTAATTTAGATGGATCTTTCAGACAGTATGTAGGGCCAGCAATTGGTTCATAATTTCCAGTAGGAATTTGGTATTGAAACAAAGTTGTATGACCAATTTTTGTTTGGCTAAGAGTACAGATATCTTTATTTTCTTCAACAAATTGCTCAAAAATTTCTTGTTGATTAATATCCAAAGGTCCAACATGTAAGTCCTCTTTGATATTTCATTCGTTATTTTAAGACTTTGATTGTTTAGCTTGAGCTAAGAATACTGCTGGATTATCATCCCAAGGGTTAGCAAATAACTCATTTTTATTAAAGTCAAATAAATTTTCTTCGTCAGAGAAGTCTTCTTCACTATTAAAATAAAAGATATTTAATTCGTCAAGATCTTTCTCTTCATATTGATCATTATAAGTCAAATCGTCAATTACATTGATTAGCTCATCCATAGATGTATCAGATTCTTCATCTAATTCAACAGAAGAACTATCATAAAAAGTAATTGAAACAGAGGCAGATTTTGTCAGAGGACTCAATGACTTATAAAGTTATTAGCATACGAATAGATATAATAGTCATTTTGACAGTATTAATCTTTACTAAAGCTCTAGCTCTTTTTCCGTTAGCAGTATAGATGATTATTTTTGATAGTTCATCAATCTTTAATTTAAGTCGTTTAACTAAACTACTTGTAATAATACTGATAGCTGCACCAGAGTCAAGGATAGCTTACACATTGCTATGATGAATTTGAATAGTATATCTGACCACAGTTGTAGGAGTATCATCATTGTCACTCATATATTCGTCATCAAGGTTAACATTATTGGTTTCTTTAATGATAGCTCTTTTTAAAGCATTAGCTAAGTTTCTTCTTTGATCTGGATATTTTAACTATTGCCCAAGTTTCGCAGATGAAGATAAGTTTAGAATATCTTTAGTGATATTATAAAAAGCTAATTGGTCAACAACAAAGGAGATGCGTGGTATTTTTCTTAACTTTTAGAGTTGAACTTCCTTCTTCAATGTTCATCGGAGTAGTAGTAAGAGGAATTAGTTTACTTATATTTCTATTTCTTAATTTCATTTCTTGTTGAGATTCAGATATCCTTTTACTTTTTTTTTTGACATCCCTCCTATTAGTAGTATATGAAGTGACCCTTACTCTTGAAGTAGTATAAACTTCTTCATAATTTTCTTCTTCATCTTCTGAATCAAGGTCAAAATAAACTTCAACCATATTTGCATCTTTTCTCTTTTTAGGGGGCAAATCATATTCCCTATAGTAGTGACCTTTCTTTTAACAATTAAAACAAGTGATTTGGGATTTATCTGGTTTTTGTCCTGTGACTTTGAGTCTCATTTAAGTCTGAATATTTAAAGCTGAGACTATATTAGCATAGTTAAAAGTTAACTTTTCATTTGTTTAGTTAAGGCTTCAAGAACATCATTAGTAGGAGCTCTAGCCTTTCGATCTCCTTGACATTTCTGTCTTTCAGTTTGTCTTTCAAAATAAACTCCAGCTTCATAGTCGATAACTTTTTGAATTGCTTTATTAATATTTGCAGGTTTACTAGTAGCAACATATCGTACTAAATCCTTTTTCAATCCCTTTAAAAATAATCTAATAACATATGATTCAGGTAGATTACTATCAGGATCTATCTTTTTTCTTAATCTCTTGAATCTGTTAGAGTATGATTCTACTTTTTTATCCCTTTCTTGAAGAATATCATTGAGTTCATAATGCCATTTGTTTTGTTGTTCAATTGTATAGAAATGGTTTACAAATTTAAACACAAAGGTTTTAGCACTATTTTTATCATCTGCAACTCTCCAACCTTAAGCAAATGTAGTATTCTCATGCCAATAAGCGACTACATGATTGAGGAATCCTCTAGCAATTTCAACCATTTGTTTATTATTCCAGTTGTTAGCTTTCGCAGCTTTCTCAAAATGAGTAATCCAATCAGATAGATCCTCTTCACTTTTTCCTGAGAAGCATTTTACTGGAACTAAATTGGTTTCTCTCTTCAGTGGCTGGTGTAGAGGTCTGTTTTGAACTTCCTGAGTGAGTTGATTGATAGAATTTGTGAGCTGGGTAAAGAAGGCATTAAATTGGTCTGCGTTCATTATGTTTCTTCTTAGAGGTTCTAATGAGAGGGGTACTAAAGGTTATAATTTAGTTGCTATAGAACGTTCAAAGTTGATTTAATAATAAGATTCTTCTAATATACGAATAGCAATGAAGTCAAAATCAAATCTGAAGTCAAAAGGGTTAACAAAGGTTAAACTCTATAACAATAATTTAGCTTCTCTTTTTAGAGTTTTAATGAGCTGTAATTCACTAAAATATTGTCGATACTGATCAAACAAAATTACTATTTTTCAGTATATACAAGAGCACCAAATTCAGCACTAATCCAATTCCAAAAATATTTGAATGGTAAAGATACTTCTTCTGGAGGTGGATAGTAAATTATATAAGTGTAGTCAGTTGATAAGTAACTTCTGTTTTCAGAATGTTATTGAATATGATTTTGTTATAATGTGAGGTAGAGATCAAAATTCATCCACTAAAAAGCTAGAAATCCTGGCAGAAATCACCACTTTTGTTAGTTTGGTATCTGTAAACTTAAACGATAAACTTTTAATTCAATCTGTCGAATTAAATATAAGACAATATCAAAATCACACCTATATGAAGACACGACAAAAGGTAATAGTAAATAAATTTAACGATTCCTTTATTGAACTCTTGGTTTATCCTAAAACCTCAACTTAAGTTACTCTTTGACTCAAGGGAAAATACAAGATATTTATATAAAATAAAATAATATAAAATCAACTATAACAAATATAATAAAGAGAACAGATAATATAACTATGATAAATATAATATATATAATAAATAAGATATAATTAATAAATATAATAAATATAACCCATTTATCTAATATGTTCACTTGATCAATGTTGACAACTTTAGCAACTCTGTCAACTTCGTCAACTTCGTTAACTATGTTGATCATTTAAATCACATGACTTTATTTTAGCACAGTCACGGATCATGACTTTAGTATCTTTATATGAAGTTGGCTGTTTCGTCTTTCCTTTTTACAATTAATATATTTCCTTTTTTGGCCACTACATCCGTATTTTCTTTAATTTAGAGTTTATTTTTTTATTTTATTTAAAAAAAAATTTTGACCTTTCTTTATGTATTTCGATAATGTCTTGAAGTGATTTTTTTATTTATTTTATTTTTTAAATTATACCTCTATTATATTCGTTTGCACATTCTTTTTTCACCTCAAATGAGCTATCACATTTGATATGTGGTGATTCAAGTATTCTTAACCTGAACGAAACTTACTACCTCTACATAGTGTTCAGGAGAAACGGTTATAGTTTGAAAAATATCTGGCTAAACGCAAGCATTTAATGGTTCTTTTAAAAGTTGTAATTGCTTAATAACATTCAATAAAACTTGAAAAATCGATTCATTCAAAGTGACTGTTTTCACAATTCTGTCAATAAGTGAACAATTATCCATAATTTTGAATAGCGCATTTCTTAAGCACTGTATCATTTTTTTTACTGAATTTCCTAACTTAGTTATCAAATTCTTCATGTCCAGATTTTTTATCATTTTTTATCTATAATTATTGATGGTATTATCTCTTCATTTGATAGGAATATTATAACTGAAATCAGAACCTGTATGTCTTTTCCTATTTATAGTGACTGTATTGTTTAATATTATTCCTTTTTTTTCAGAGAGATCTATTTTTAGTAGCGCAGTAGGTGCGGCAATAAAATTTGAGGCATAAATTCAGTAATTCACAACTTTATCATGTTATCATTTATTAAATTTGCAAAATTTAACAGGCTTTAAACTTTGGAATTAGAGACTGTTTCAGACCTAAACAGAGATTCAGACTTAATTCTAAATTTAAGAATTTTTTAAGAATTTTTCCTCTATTATACCTAGTATATCAGGATTTCCAAAAGTTTATATATGTATTTTAATCTGATTTAGGTTCAGCTTTCCTCTATAAAACAAAAATCTGAACTAGAGTATTAGCGTGTGTATCACATTAACATTTGGCGATTTGCTATTAAATCATGTTACAAATAATTTGACATGTATTAATAACAGTAATATTAATAATGATATGCATAAATTTTCTTTAACGAAATTTCATTTTCATTACGGAAGAGACTCTTTTGTAGATTCAATTTGAATTATTTAGTTAGTTATCCTAATAATGAATGGATCAATAAAATAAAAGAAAGTTTAATATTCTGAGAATAAGTACTTAGAAGACGGGAGTTCAAAGGGTAATCTATAGAATAGAACATTGTCCTATAGCCAGTTCATTTTAAAGATGTCAATTTAGATATATAATAATCAAAAATGATCTATATTACGGTAAATGACTATAAAGTATAAAATTAGGTTATTTTATTAGAAAAATACAAAAAAGAAATTTCAAATTCATTTTTCTTGCTGATGGACACATCACGCACATGAACGCATAATAATTGCATTGAATTTAAAAACAAAAGGCACAAAAGGTTTAATTTCATACAATTCAATTCAAAATAAATTTTAAAAAACATACATTCAAAAAAGTAAAATTAAAAAGTTAGCAACATGTTTTTTATATGCTCAGCCCACTAGTGCTTAGCAATTACAGTAATTATAAATAATACCAAGCCCTAACTTTTTACTTTTATCATTAACTTATACTGTTCTGCCATTACAAGTAACTTTTTATTGCGCAAAAATTCCGTTCTGAACTTATACATTTGACTTTGAGATTGTAAAATGTGTTTTTATCATTACCTTTTTATATATATATATATACTTTTTTTTTTGATATTAAATATTTGAAAAGGTTATTTGTTTGATCAAAGTTATACTTATAATGAATTTACATTATGTCTTTTAAACATTTAACTCTCATCATTAATGTTTTTATCATTCTGGTTATCTTATTAACAACAATTGATTCTAACCTTTTAATCATACGTGAAGTTATTGATTTTACCCGTTGTCAAGGAAAAGGTTGTTGTGCTTCGTTATCAGACAATGTTGCTAAGAAACACCATGTACGTGTTGCAACCATTGTTATCATTAATAAGAGTGGTTATAATATGACTCACATCATTAAACTTGAAGATGGATGTTATGTTAGACATGATGATCATGAAAATCTCGATATAAACTGCGAACCACAAACTGAACCTCTCGCAAATGGTCAAAATGAAACATTTTCTTGCATTACAAGTCATAGATTTGGCGGATTGAAAGGTATTGCCACTTACATCATAGATGACAGTGGTTCAAGCACTTTCATCTTATCCTGGAGTATTCCTACAATCGGCGATCCTAATTACGACATCGAAGGATTGCCTAATAAGAAATATTACAATGAAAATAAATATGATCTTGATAATACATTATATTAAGTTATAGTTCATCAAAACGCTGTTGTGAGTGATGCAGCTCATCAAAACGTATTTATGAAAGTTTGGTTTATCATT